GTAAAACAACCCAAATGTCCATCACCTGATCAGTGGATACATAAAATGTGGTACATCCATACAATGGGATATTATTCATACATAAAAGAGGAATGGAGTACTTGGATAAACCTCAAACACATAATGCTAAATTAAAAAAGCCAGACACAAAAGGCCACACACTGTATGAATCCATTTATATGAAATGTCCAGAATAGATAAACCCATTGAGACAGAAAGCAGATTGGTGGTTGCCAGGGGCTAGGGGAAGGGGAAATAGGGAGAAAAAAAGAAGCTGTTGACCTGCCATCTTTTTTGAAAGTTTTAGAGTCATGCCACATCACACGGCTCCCTTCTCCAACCTCAAATTACTAACTTCTTATGTAGACCATTTTATTCTGCTCTTTGTTGTGAACTGGTAACACATTCATATGGTATAAAATAGGAAATTTGGAATAGGGTGGCCAATGAAACAAAAGTCTCCCTCCCCCCTCTGTCTCCCATCACCTAGTTCCCTCCCCTAGGCAATCAGTATTGCCAATTTCTTGTATGTCCTTCAAGAGATCTATCACACACATACAAATAAATACTTACATATGGTTTTTAAACCAATGGTAATGGACCATGCCCATTGTCTCATACTTTGCTTTCTAATATTAATACAAATCTTAGAGATCTTTCCAAATTTGTATATACAGAATTTGCTTCTTCTTTTTTTAGTTGTGCTTTAGGTGAAAGTTTACAGCTCAAGTTAATTTCTCATTCAAAAATTTATACACATATTGTTTTGTGACATTGGTTGCAATCCTCACAATGTGACAGCACTTTCCCTGTTTCCATCCCGGGTTCCCTGTGTCCATTCGTTCAGTTCCTGTCCCTTCCTACCTTCTTGTCTTGCTTTTGGACAGGAGTTGCCCATTTGGTCTTGTATATTTGATTAAGCTGAGAAGCACATTCCTTACATGTGCTATTGTTTTATAAGGCTGTCTAATCTTTGTCTGAAAAGTTGGCTTCGGGAGTGGTTTCAGTTCTGAGTCAGCAGAGTGCCTGGGTGCCACTGTTTAGGGTTCCTACAATGTCTGTCAAACCAGTAAGCCTGGTCTTGTTTCATGAATTTGAATTCTGTTTTACACTTTTCTCCCATTCTGTCCTGGACTCTCTGTTGTGATCCCTGTCAGAGCAGTTGGTGGTGCCAGGCACCATCTAGTTCTTCTGGGCTCAGGCTGGTGGAGGCTCTGGTTCATGTGGTCCTTTAGTCTTTTGGGCTAATATTTTTCTTGTGTCTTTGGTTTTATTCTTTTTCCTTTGCTCTGGACAGAATGGGACCAATAGATGTATCTTAGATGGCCACTTGCAAGCTTTTAAGACCCCAGACGCTACTCTCCAAAGTGGGATGTAGAACATTTTCTTTATGAACTACGTTATGCCAATTGACCTAGATGTCCCCAGAGACTATGGTCCCCAGCCCTTGGTCCCAGCAACTTGGTCACTCAGGGTGCTTGGATGTGTCTGGGAAACTTCTATGCCTTTGCTTTGGTCAAATTGTGCTGACTTCCCCTATATTGTGTACTGTCTTTCCTTTCACCAAAATTGACATTTGTCTACCATCTAGTTAGTGATTTCCCCTCCCCTCTTTCCCCACCCTCATAACCATCAAAGGATGTTTCTTTTGAATGTAA